GCCGCCCGCCCCCAGCCGGGCTCTGGAACCGGCTGCGGCCAACGCGCCGCCAGCCTGATGCTCGAAAAGTTTTTAGCATAAATAAACTAATGTTTATTTAAAAGCTAAATACATACAAATCTATCTGTACATCTTAATAGATGGGGTATTTTTTAAAAGCTCATTAATAGATTGCATTTTGGGGGGAGCAATGTATTTATTTTGGAGAGAGCCACTGAACAGCCCAGGGAAAGTAACCTTATTAATACCAGGAGAGAAAAAAAGATATCATATCATATAAAAGCAGCCAATAACTACACATAAGACAACACTGCCTACAGCTTCTCTGTTTCACTCGCTCCTGAGTGCCAGTGGGCCCGGCCCCTTCGCTCACCCTCCAGGCAGAGGCCTGCTTAGGCGTTAAAGGCGTGTGGAACCCAGGATCTAATCCAGCTGTTTATTGTACTCAAGAATGCTTGGAAACACAATAAATTTGGCAAAAGTATCCGAGGAACTATTTAGCTTAATTCTGATCAGCACTTTGGTACCACGACAGCAATAACCTTGATATAGTAAATTATAAGCTGATCAAGATAAATAAAATTATAACATAACGCTGCCAAGGATCAGCTCTAAAATTCAGATGCGGTTTAAAACATTAACCACGGAGCAGGCTGCTTTCCGGTTTAATGGATGCTTTACAGAAACAGCAAACACAACCCTGACCTGCGCAAGCGCTTTTTCTCCCATACTGGACTTTATTGGTACGTGTAAAGCACACTGAAATTCATAAAATTTAAATAAGACAGCAAAATTATACCTTGTAGCTACAGTTATCACAAATAATGTATAGTCTAAATTGCAGCCTGAGCAAACATTATTTGCTGGGTGCCTTTGGAAGCCCAAGGCGGGACGCAGCGCAATTATGAAAGGCGCAGAAAGCCGATCTGCATCTGAATGCGGGGAGGGGCGCGGGGCGGGCGGGGAGCCGGCTCCATTCACGGCACCACAACGCACCGGCTGGTAAAAGCAACTTTATTAGTGTCCCGCGGCGACGTACATCAGCAATCTGTAACCAGGCATTAA